TCAAGAAAGTTGGTGAAACAGGAAATTAGGACATCAAAAATGATGTATGAGAAAATATTGGCTGAAAATGTAAAAATTAACAATAAGGATTTCTTTAAATAGATTAAGGGTAATCATAATGTTAGGATGGGGTAGTACCCTTGAGGGATGATAAAGGAAGGCTAGTATCTGATGGTTATGAGATGGCTGGGTTATTAAATTTTGCTTTTTCTTCAGTTTTAAGTAATGAAGATTTAAGCAGTATTATCCATCTTGAACAGTTGAAAGATGGAAACAAGATTGAACTAGATGATTGTTGGTTAAGAAAAAATTGGGAAGTTTAAAAAATGACAAGGCTCCTGGGCCAGATAATATTTCCCCAAGGGTTTGAAGGAGGTTAAAGATTGGATATGTGAGCCACTTGCTACTAATTTTTGTCAGTCCTTGAATAGTGAGCAGGTACCAGAGGATTGGAAGTTAGCTAACGTAACTCCTCTTTTCAAGGGAGGTGATAAAAATTTTCCCAGTAATTATAGACCCATTAGTCTTACATAGTTGTGGCAAAAACTTTGGAAAGTCTGTTAAAAGATGCTTTGCAAAGTCATTTAACAAAGTTTAGAATTTTATTGGATAGTCAACATGGTTTCACTAGGGGAAAATCTTCTTGCCTTACAAATCTTTTAACATTCTTTGAAAAGGGTACTGCTTATGTAGATGAGGCTAAGGGTGTAGATTTGGTGTATCTGGATTTTCAGAAACTGTTTGACAGGGTACCACGTAAAAGGCTTGAAAAAATTAGCTCTATAGGTGTGGGGGATAAGTTAGCAAATTGGATAGAAGAGTGGCTGGCTGGAAGAAAGCAAAGAGTTGTTACAAATGGAGTTCAGTCAAAAACTTGATTAATGTCACAAGTGGGGTACCTCAGAGCTCAGTCTTAGAACTTTTGCTGTTTTTGATTTACGTCAATGACATAGGTAAAGAAATATTCAATAAATTACTTAAATTTGCAGATGATATTAAGGTCTTGGGTGTTGCTAGCTGTGAATAGAATGCTGCTGATGTACAAAAGGATTTAGATCATTTAGTTATTTGTTTAAATAAATGGCAAATGGGTTTTAATGATAATAAATGCAAGATAATGCATGTGGGTTATCATAATTTGAATAATA